CTTGGGCACTAGGTTGACTTTTAGCACGGCTTACCATCCTCAGACTAACGGGCAGTCTGAGGGCACTATTCAAATACTTGAAGATATGCTTTGAGGCTATGTCCTTGACTTTAAGGGGTCGTGGGAGAGACACCTACCCTTAGTGGAGTTTGCTTACAATAATAGTTTCCAATCGAGTATTGGTATGGCACCGTTTGAGGCATTGTATGGCCGACCATGTAGATCTCTTATGTGTTGGGCCGAGGTGGGTGATGCACCTCTGTTAGGTCCAGAGTTGGTTCAGGAAACAACAGAGAAAGTGACACTTATCCGTAAGAGGTTGGTTACAACCCAGAGTCGCCAAAAAAGTTATGCCGACCGTAGGAGGAGACCTTTGTCATTTGAGGTGGGTGATCACATCTTTTTGAAAATATCACCTAAACGGGGTTTGATAAGGTTTGGGAAGAATGGGAAGTTATCCCCTCGGTTTATTGGCCCTTTTGAGATCCTTGAACGGACTGGGGAGGTTACATATCGTTTGGCGTTGCCGCTACAACTTTTCGGAGTGCATGACGTGTTTCATGTTAGCATGCTTCAGAAGTATGAGCCGGATCCATCGCATGTGTTGGATTGGACCAACTTAGAGGTAGATGAGGATGCTTTGTATGAGGAGAGACCAGTGAGAGTCTTGGATAGACGGGACTAAGTCTAGCGAGGCAAGACGATTCCCTTGGTCAAATTATTGTGGAAACATCTCGAAGTTGAGGAAGCAACTTGGAAACGTGAATTGGAGGTCCGAAAGAAATATCCGGACCTATTTGTTGATGTTTGAGTATATGTTAAAATTTTCGTTTTGTTGATGAACTATAAGAACATTGTATATGTTTTGGATTGTTAAACATTGTAAATGTTGAATATGCCTTGGAAATGCGGGTTTAATTGAAACAATGTATATATTGAATATGTTTTGGAAATGCAAATATGTTATAAACATTGAATATGTTTTGGAAGACTTGAGATGTATGTGTTGAAGTTAATTGAATTTCAAAAGAATGCATGTTGGTGATGTATGTTGAGCTATATTTTGTAAAATTGTTCTCTTGAGAAGAGACAGAATGACCAGTGGATGGGTCATGATGGTGAATGTTGAGTTTTAATCATGTTGGGAATTGAATAACCATAATTTTGAAAATTGTATAAAATTTCGGGGACGAAATTCTTTAAGAGGGGGAGGTTATAGCGATCCAGGTTTTACCCTAACCTTTATTGTGTTCCGAACTCAGGTTCCGTGGTTGTATATTGTTGTCTTTGTCTTGTTTCCTCCCTTTAATTCTTTGAATTTGAGTTTTGGGTCTTGCTGGGTGAGTTTAGAACAGGTTGGTTATGAGTTGCTATAAATGGTTGCTGCCTAGGTCTTGGCTTCTTTGCTCGAGCGAGGCTTTTTGCGCTTGAGCGAGCCTTGGGTATTTGCTTCTTCGCTCGAGCAAGGGTTCTTGCGCTCGAGCAAGGATTGAGAGTCCTCGGGTTTCTTTTTTAGACGCAGCTTTCGCTCGAGCGAGCACTCTTGCGCTCGAGCTAGTCGTGAGTTATTTGTTCCTTCGCTCGAGCGAGAACTCTTGCGCTCGAGCGTGCGTCTGTGTTGGTGGTAGACCTGAAGCTTCACATTGTGCGCTCGAGCGACGCTTCTTGCGCTTGAGCAAGGCCACTTGTTGAGTCTGGTCGCTCGAGCGACAACTCCTTCGCTCGAGCGAGCCTCACATATATCAGTTCGCAACAGAGACGAATTACACCTTTTTCACCTTCTTCCTTCTTCAAAACCCTAGATCGGCAGCTCCTCTCTCTAAAACACCCACTCTCTCTACAAATACTCCTTGATTTAGGGTCCTTCTACCCTACTCCCTTTGTTAAAAAGCTAGAGCATCGCGTGGGCTTCCTTTGGATCCGAAAAAGGTAGGATTTGGGGCATCTTTGGGTTTCTCTCTTCTTCTCCTTGGAGCTTCTACACTTGAGGTAGGGATAATCTACTCTCCAATATGAGTTTTAACCTTGATATTTGTCATTTGGTATGAATGTTAGGTGTTGGGAAGTTTTGGTGAAGTTGGGGCTTGAGATTTGAAATTGTGAAAAAGGGGTTTTCTATTGTAGGTTCCATATGGGTGTGAGAGTCCTTGAAACATGTTATTGCTTGGGTAATATTGGTGAAATTTGGTCTTGGGTGCAATGTATGTTAAAGGTGGAGATATGCCCTAATATGAATGAAATAAGTTATTGGTATAACTAATGAAATTGGCTTTGAAATTATGGAATTTAAGGAAATTGTGACTTAATGGTGTAGTTGGATTAATAAATGACTCACCCATGGAAAAGTTGATAAATTATCTGTTGATAGATTTATTTATCTATTTAGAAATATCTGTTTTGGGCTATCTGTGGAAGATAGCTATGATTGTTGTAGAAAATGCATGATGATTAGGTAAATTGAAACTAATCAATTGGATTATGTCATTGAATATGACGGTTGGATTAAACCATTGAACATGTGATTTATTTGGTCATTGTATATGACAACGTATTTAAATACATTGCATATGTATCTTTGTTTGAGAGGAGATTGGGGATGTACTCCATTGTGTGGGACGAGATAGGGGATGGACTCCATTGATAATTAAGTTGGCCGGAGTGTCCATGGTGAAAGTCCCAAAATCTTATATATTTATGGGTGCCGGTTCCCTCGGACGTGGTTCCGTAAAATGACAAAGAAATAGAAGTGTTGAATTGATGAATGTGTTGAATTGTGAACCATTGAGTTGTAGTCTCATTTCGGTTGTTTTGATAATAACGAATTTGGTTAATTGACTTTATCCGAAAAGAATGAATGGATATGAATTGAGATATTGGTTATCCATATTGGTTATCCATGTCGAATGAACTTGAAAAGAATATGTATTGGTTAGGAATATCTCACATTTATTCGATGCTTATGTCTTAGTTAATTCTCATATGTTATTTAGCATATCTCTACTGGGCTTTGCCTCACCCTTCTTGGGACACCATTTTCAAGTACAGGTGACATGCCACCTCCAAGGACATAGCTTGGGAGGTTGAGGGGTTGAAGGCCCAATTTTGTATATTTTGTTTGGTGTTTAATGTAAAATTTCAAGCTGGGGGCCATATATGTAAAAGAATTAGAACTCTTCTTTTGTTGTAATCAAGTGATAACTTGGAAAACTGTAAGCCAGTAGGACATTATTTTGCTGATTTTCAGTTATGAGCATTAATGAATATGTAATGTACGTGATATATTTTGTAAAGAAGACTCTGATGAATGAAAAGATAATATTTCTCCTATGTTTATGGGTTTTGTGAATGGTTGTCATATACTATGTTTTTAGGACGTCACATTTATTTTTTAGATTCACCTAACCTAGATACATTTAAAATACATAATAATTATGGATTTTTTTTTTAAAATTCATTAAATAAAAATATATATATATATATATATATAAATTCAATATATTTTCGTATTCTTATATATTTATTGAATTCTGTAAATATTTTTTCACAAATATTTTACATTTGAAGTACATTTAAGTTATGTGCGTTTATAAAGTAAAAAATTTACCTAAAGTATTTTTAAAAATTCACTAAGACGTAAATAAAAAATCAATTTTTAGAAAATCAAGCAAAATGAAAATTACATTTCAAAGAAAAATATTTTGTGTATTTTTATTTTTATTTTTATCTTTCTTGTGCTTCAAAAGCACTTTTCAGTAAGACCCATTCATTTATTATACTAGATTTTGTAGATTACCTTTTAATGATAAATGCAACATCAAATCCTAATTAGCTGCCCATGCCAAACGTACCCTTAGATTTTTTAAATTACTTCATTTTAATGATAGATACTTCAAATCTATAATGCTCACAATTTATTAAGAGTCTGATCATAAAAAAAAAAATAATAATAATAATAATAATAAAATAAAATAATAATAATAATTATACAAACATGATGGGGGTGCAACTTGTACCCTCACAACTTTTTTACTTGCACCCTATCACAATTATTTACACTTCTCATGTATTTATAATTTTTTTTTCCCTACTCCACTCTTAAGTAATTCCCCTTTATTATACCTTGATTTGGTAGATTACTTTTTTTTATGATATTAAATGTACATCAAATCTAACGTTAAAAAACAAACTTATCAGGCTTAAATGTTATTGAGATGACAATTTGAGATAAATCAAACTTTTTTTAGATGATATGCACGAAAATTTCTATAAAATTAACAATTTAAATTATTAAAATGAGATCCATGTATACCTCACGAGTTTAGACAACGAACTCAATCCTTACATCAAACTAATCACTTAGCCTAACAACACCTTGTTTGATTTCAAAAAATTGAGCCAACTTTTTAGAAAATTGAGTTTTTTATTCTTTGTGTTTTTTTTTTAAGTCAAAAAAATTTAATATTTCAAGATATATATATATATATATATATATATACATATACACAAAATACATATAAATTTAAAAATATATAATATTTATGGATTTTTTTTTAAATTCATCAAATACAAAAAATATAAAACAAATTAATATATTTTCGCATTCTTGTCTATTTATTGAATTTTATAAATATTTTACTTTTTAAGTGCATTTAAGTTATGTGCATTTATAAAGTAAAAAATTTACCTTAAATATTAAAAAAATTCGCTAGAACAAAAAAAATACAAAAAATAAAAAATCAATTTTTAGAAAACCAATCAAAACCAAACAAAAGTATCCCAGTCTAATAATCACCAGTAGCTCAGTCAATTACATACAACTCTTACAATGGAAAAAAATAAATTCTATAAATGTCAAACTCATTTTTATAAAAATTAAACCCATAATCTCAAATTACAAAATGATACTACACAACCATTAGACCGAAGTCCCGAAGGTTGGGGCCTATAAATTCATGAATCAACTTTGTTGAATAATAAAGAATTCAAAAGGGAGAGAGAGATAGGGATTTTGAGTAGGGAGAAGAAGAGATGCCTTGCTTGAACCCACCTACTAACGTGAACCTGGAGGGCATTGATATCTCCTCCATCCTCAAAGAAGCCACTTCCGCCGTCGCCGATCTCATCGGAAAACCAGATGCTCATGTGATGGTTATGTTGAAGAGTTCAGTCCCCATTGCTATAGGTGGGATTGAAGACCCAGCAGCCAATGGTGAAGTGGTGTCCATTGGAGGTCTTAACCCAGATGTAAACAAGAAGCTTAGTGCTGCAATTTCAACCATACTTGAAGCCAAGTTGTCTGTTCCTCCTACAAGATTCTTCCTCAAATTCTATGACACCCTGGGCTCCAACTTTGGATGGAATGGAACCATCTTATAAATTCAATATAATGTACTTGGAAATGCAATGTTAAATATTAACATATGATCAATAATAATAAAAAGTCTCTTACCATAATCTAGTGAAAAGTTTGATGCCGAGGCGTTTCCCAAATTAAGTCCTATACTAATTTATTTTTCAAATTAAGCTTACTTTTGCAGTATTTTCTAAACTAAGTTGAAACGTGTTTACAAAATACACTTTCAGCATTTTTTGTGATCTAAATAGACAAAATAAACAAAATTATAAAAACGTGTTTAAAAAACATACTTTTAATTAAGATTTATATTAATTATCAGGTCAATTAGTAAAACGTAATTGAAAAACGCAACACATGAAAACGTCTTTTGAAACACGTTTTCAAACACGTTTTCAATATCGCATCACAAACTCACACTCTTTTCCCCCTCTCTCTCTCTCTCACACACAGCCACATCACTCACACTCACTCACTCACTCACACACACTCACATTTTTTTACATTTATAATTTTTAATATATATAAATTTTATTTTATAAAATTGAGACCATTATTAAATATATATATATATATATATATAATTTATAATAGTAAATAATAATCAATTATATAAAATGATCAATTTTTTACTTTAATTGTTAAAATTTATTTATTTTTATTTTGGGATTTAGGATTTAAGGTTTAGAATTTATAGTTTATTTCTTAAAATTTATTTTTTTATAAATCCTAAACCCTAAAATAAATTTTTATTTAAAAAATAAATTTTAAAAATTAAAGTAAAAAAGTGATCATTTTATATAATTGATTATTATTTGTTATTATAAATTATTATTATATATATTTAATATTGGTCTCAATTTTATAAAATAAAATTTAAATATATTAAAAATTATTATATATGTAAAAAAATGTGAGTGAGTGTGAGCGATGTGGGTGTGTGTCAAAGAGAGAGAGAGAGAAAAAAGAGTCTGTGTGAGTGTGTGATGTGGTATTGAAAATATGTTTTCAAAACACGTTTTCATGTGACGCGTTTTTTAATTGCATTTTATTAATTGACGTGATACTTAATATAAACTTTAATTAAAAACGCGTTTTCTAAACATGTTTTCATAATTTTATTTATTTTGTCTACCTGGACCACAAAAATGCTGAAAGCGTGTTTTGTAAACACGCCTCAGCTTAGTTTGGAAAATTCTACAAAAGTAGTCTTGTGCACTTGAAGGGACAAATAGAAAATCAAACACAAAAAGAAGCAAATAACCAAATAGAGAGTAGAAACCAAATAGGGACATAATACCAAATGCTAATAAAGAGACTTGAATCCAAGAGCTATCTCAACCAGAGCTCTAATACTATGCTAAATGACCAATTTTTTCAAAAGCATAAGTTGTTAGAAAATATGTCTAACAATATATATCAAACTATTTAATAATACTCAACACAACAAATTAAGATTTTAGAGATAAAAATTTTGGAATAAAATTACTTTTTAAGGATCAGATATCTTAGTGACCAAAAGTGTTATTATTATATTTTTAATGACAAAATTGGATATTTAGTGATGAATTACTATCTTTTGAGACCAAAATTTATTGTCTAAAAAATAAACATTTTTTGGATCAAATTATTTTGTCCCTAAAAGTATATTTTTATTAGCAATATTTTCAAAATAAATTGAAAATGTTGAATCAAATGTTGACAATAAATTTGATCCAACATTTAGCGCTAAATTTGTATTAGCACTTTTTTAGTGAAAATGTCTATTCATTTTTCTCTCCTATCTTCAAAATAAATTTATTGTCTATTCATTTTTATTAGCCACATTTTCAACATTTTCAATATTTGGAACGACTTTTTGGCAACTATTTTTGTAACAACATAAATTGATTTCCAAATATTTTTTGCAACAAAATTTGTAGCTTTAGCGGAAAAAAATTAATTTTTTAATTCTTATATGTTGTAGTGACTATTCAATCAAGTGGTCAATTATATCATTTTTTAAAAATTAAAAATAAAAATTGCCAAAGATTATGTCTATTCATTTTTCTCTCCTGTAATGGGGAGTATCAGAAAAAATAAAAATAAAAAAATAGCCCTACATGTTGCAGACTTCAATTTTTCGAGAACTACAATTTGATGGTAGTATACAAATATTATATCTCTAGGGCAATATTTAAACGAAGATTAAAAAATAAAGTGAAAGGAAATGAAATTATTTGTACATGTTTATTTTTTTGAATAACAATGATCTATTTGTTATTTTCTCATTTTCTAAACTCAATCAAATAAGGGAAAATTTCATTTCGGCATAGGTTTTTTTAAAAAAATTACAAATAAGTGGTCAACTTTATACACATGAATAATTACATTCATAAACTTTATCATGAATCTATAATAATTTTCTGATAATACATTGGTAATTTTCCCATCAAATAAAAGGAAAAAAAATTGACTTCACTTAGGAAACACAAGTATGATCATGAGATTTTGTGCTTTCGAAAATCAAAAACATGATCAAAAGATGGAATGGAATCCCATTGTCAAGAATAAGATTTGTTAACGCCCAAAATAAAAATAAAAATAAAAAATAAGGCTCAACATTAATTTATCAGATAAATGATAGTGCAAAAATTAGAATTAATGCTTCCACAACACATTAATTATTATGTAGTTGTGACAATCAATTTTGGGAGAAATTATTAAGTTCTCTTTAAGCAAGTCCAAGTGTGGCTCCAAATTAATAATTTATTGGTCTAATTATAAAATACACCACTTTTGTATTGCAATTTTAAGGATAATATGAAAAGTGGTGGTCCTACATGTACCAATTAGTATACTAATTAGTGTACTAATATGTGCTATACATTATTACTAACTCCACTTATTATACAAATTACAAATATTTAAAATCTCTAAAATTATATCACATTTTCTATTAGTATATTAATTGGTATATCAATTGATGCATATAGTATTATTCATATGAAAAGTGTCCATTAATAAATGAAATGGAGCATTAGTCCAAGTGTATTGAATAATTCTTAAGAGGGTGATTTATGATCTGGAGTTGGGCCGAGGTAACGGCCGAGCAGGTTGAGTGCCCAACGGTGCATGGGGCCGAGATGATCGACTATCCGCCCAGAGATGGGCTGCCAGAACTTGGGCCGGGCAGAACTTGGGCCGAGTGTGTGCCGCCCCAGACCGTAAAGAAGCTGCTCGGCAAGGCAGTGCTCGGTCGGACCGAACTGCTCGATCAGGGGATGGCCGAAGCCAGACAAGCTGAGTGACCGGCGCCCGGAAAGGCGTGGTCAGCCGAGGTAACTGTTTGACCGGCAGAAAGGCCGACCACAGGAGGTGCCTCGGGCTAGGCTTTGCCGAGATGCCGCCTAGCCCGGTCTTCCTTGGTCTTAGCCGGTGAAGTGCTTGGGTATAAAGCACGACACGGCACAGCAACGGATAGAGCAGCTCGGCTGTCGAGCTTCAGCTGTGATGGCAGGCAGTTGAGATTAGGTGATGTTCAGCAAGGTTTATGCTGACAGATGGGATAGCGGAGCCACGTGTCATGAGATGACTGGGAGTAGATATGGGGCACAGAGGGTATATAAGCATGTCTGCGCCCCCCATACGCGACAGATGAACACTTTGTAAGGAATTTCTTACACTCAAACTCCTCTCTCCCTCTTTCTCCCTATCCTAAGGTGTGTGCTAACTTGATCGTCAGAGGGTTTTTCCGACCACACACCGCCGGGTAGCTCACCATTATTTGCGCGCAGGTGATCGGACATAAACGGAGCTTGGAAGAAAGGAGTACGGGCTTACCGAAATATTTGCTCCCCGTACAACTGGCGCCGTCTGTGGGAAGCTTGACAGACAAAACCTTGTCTTCCAGGTTCATCCGATCGCCGTCCATGGCGAACAACGACGAGTTTCCGTTGTCTGCCATAGATGGAGCTACCCCGAAGTTCACCCGAAGGAGAGAAGGTCCTCCCACCATCCATCCAATGGCGGACTTGGGGACGCCCACTGGAGGACAGTCAGTAGACGCGCAGGATAAGCGCGGAAGAAGTCATGGCCATTCGCGGAGTCCAGACGGTCACCGGCGGAGGAGAGACTCACACGCCAGGCGACTGGAAAGTAAGTTGAGAGACCAAGATGCTGTCATCCGGCGAATGGCGGCGGAGATGGAGGATCTGAAGCGGCATGTCAAAGGGAAGGGTGTAGCTGGAGTGGGGGGCCACAGTGAGCGCACCCCATCCCGTCGTTCAGGTGGCCAGAGTCAGCGACGTACTCAGTCCATATCTATTACCAGAAGTTACCAGGTTGGTGATTCCGACGCGCATGCAGAAAAGTCTAGCGCGCAAGACAGCACCTACAAACCCTCACGTCCGGTGACGACGTCGAGGTACTCTTACTCTGCTCAGTCGGAAGATTTACGGGCGGTCTTACAGGAGCGGGCTCGCCGGCGCGAAGCTCAGAGAATACCTGCCTTCCAGCGGTTATCCTACGGGGTTCACGCCAGCGAGGAGGTCGGAATGCCTCCACCCCGCCAAGCAGTGCCACTCTTTGAAGATACAGACTTGGCTAGGCTGAGTGCCACCCCTTTTTCCCTGGAAATAGAAACAACACCGCTTCCGACAGGCTTCCACCAGCCAAAGTTCACACTTTACGATGGAAAAACCGATCCATATATGCATGTGAGCCACTTCCGACAGGTTATGGCCGGACATAGGCGCAATGACGGACTTATGTGTCTAATCTTCCCGTCAAGTTTGGGCGAGCTGGGCTTAAAGTGGTTCGAGAGGTTGCTGGAAGGGAGCATACAAAGGTGGCATCAGCTGGCCGAGGCGTTTGTTACACGCTTCAAAACCAACACAAAGACACCAAAGGAAGTCGATTATTTGCTGAGTGTCAAGATGGAACCGAGCGACACACTGAAGGTATACAACTCAAGGTACTGGGAAACCTTCAACGAGATCTTGGACTGCCCGGTCAACCTTGCAATCACGCAATACAAGCGTGG